CTTTACACTGAAAAAGCAGATAACACTTCAGTTGTTCAAAGAAAGATTAACATTTTCAGGCAAAGTAACACGATCAGCACTACGCCTTAAATTAGACCAACCATCACAGAACATGCAATAGCTACACACATTCATCTCTGACATTTGCAACATTTCTGCACATTTGCACCAGACACTTTCTTACAACCACTCCCTATATCTAAAAAAAAAAAAAAAACACAAAAAAAACATTGTGCATAAAGTCTGCTTCACACAGGTAAGTGGGCTTGACAAACCACATGTAAAAGCATTCTTAATTCTTAACATTCTTTGTATAATTAGCACATCTTGGGTGTACAGACTCTTCTTGTTGATTTGCTGAATGTCTTCTCAGTTGTAAGTCACTTTAGACAAAAGAGTCTGCTAAATGTTAATGTAACTACTGTAGATTCATAAGGTGGTGTTGCACATCAAGGTTTGTGCTTCATCATGCCAAGCATCCTAAAAATGTCAGATAAAAAAATAAACATTTACCAACAGATCAAAGGTGAAAGGAGGAATTGGTTTAAGAGGAAAATACAAAATGTTTTTAAAAAATAATAAAATAAAATGTAAATTGCTTACCATGTACTCCCTCACTTAGGGGCTTTGAGGATGCATTCACACCTTTTTTCCACTGGTGATGTTCTAAATGACATGAAATGACAATTAGTAATTTACTAAATAATTAGTAGTTAAAATTACTAGTAATTTTTACTGTACATCATTTTAATGTGTGTATAGGCATCTAAAGGCATAGTACCTGGATGATCCACAGTCTCCTCAGCCAGATATGGGACTTTAGAGGTTGAGTTGTAAACCTGTGAGGGAGAAAATAGATGCGAGTGAGCAAATATTTGTAATAATAAAATATAATAATATAAATATATAGCATTTAGAATAATATATTTATAATAATAAAAATGAAAAAAATAAAACACTGCAAACTACTAAACTTAAAAGTTTAAACGTGTTAGATGACCAAACAAATAAGCTTACATTAAATATGTCATCATGCTAGATGTCATCCTATTTAAGTGTCACATATGCTTGTCAAGTTTTTTTTTTTTTTTTTAAGTTAACAGGCTTGAATAATAACAATGTGCCAACACCACCTTTTAATTAATATTATGTAAGTTATCAAAACTAGCATTCAAACTTGACAAACAGCTTGACACTCATTTAAAATAGAGACTATCAAATCAAAAATCAAATCACTTTTATTGTCACATTATCAGCAGCACGGGTGCTATAAGTGAAATGCTTAGACTATTCTAACATGACTATTCCTTACTACCATTGTTTGCAACTTTATTTTAGGGGAGTTAATAGTATAAAAGCTCACAGGAATGCAAAAAAACTACAAATTTATCTGTCATTAATGTGAAAAAGAAACAGGGAACATGGCAATTTCATAACAATACTATACACAAACACAACAGAGTATTACAAGGGAGTACATTAATGACTCAAATGTTGTCACAGCCTCAATATAAATACATAAAAAGTAAATAAAATCTCACCTGTGTGTCCACATTGGGCAAAGCTTTGTGCACGTTCTCAATTTGTACTGTAATCTTCATTTTTTGATTCCCATAATATGGCGCCGAGCTGAGAGTGATCGTTGTGGTTTGAATCTTCTTACTTCCTGTGTTGTTTTGAAACTGCGCATGTGCAGATATTACTCCACCTATTGACCAAAATGCAGTACTGCAGAAGCAACACAACTCCCTTTCGTTCATGTTAATTAAGCAAGCTGTTTAAATGTGAAAACTTACTTTTTCTAATTTTTTCCAACACAACACTTTTATTTTTAATACACAAACATAAGCAAATTGTTTAATTTCAATATAGTTACATTCTTTGGACCAACTAAAGCCATAATTCATTTTTTTTTAATGTAGGCTGGGTGTTTAACACAGATTTTCTCTGTTGTGCTCTTGGGTCACAGTGACCGCAACATCTGCTCTGCATGCGGGCCGGATCCAAGATTACGTGAACCTTGTGATAAGGAGAATTAGACTTACATGAGTGTAGATGCCGTTCACATTGCAGAGTCTTGTTGGGGGCTGTTCTCAATTCCAATTGTCCTGATTAATGCAGAATAACAATCCTTTAGAGGATTTTGATTTCAATGTTATGTTTTTGCTGTGGCACAATGGTTAGCACTGTTGTCTTACATCAAGAAGGTCAGTGGTTCGAGTCCCGGCTGGGTTAGTGGGCATTAATGTGTGGAGTTTGCATGTTCTCCCTATGTTTGTGTGGGTTTCCTCCGGGTGCTTCAGTTTCCCTCACAGTCCAAAGACATGCGCTACAGGTGAATTGGATAAATTAAATTATCCGTAGAGTATGAGTGCATTTGTGAATGCGAGCGTGTATGGGTGTTTCCAAGTACTAGGTTGTGGCTTGAAGGGCATCCCCTGCGTAAAAGATGTGATGAAATAGTTGGCGGTTCATTCCGCTGTGGATTTAGATATTCAATGAATAACCAGTTCTTAAGTATTAATTAAACGCAGTGGATGTAACATCACCACATAGTGTGCATTATTTTTCCAACAATTCAATGGCTCGTCATCAATTTTTTTCTTCCATTAGACGTCTCTCTGGGTTACTTGATTGTGATTGGTCGACCAGAAAATTCCAAGGTTTACTTTTCCCGATAACAACCGATTAGACTAATAAAATGGGCTTGTCTGTGTATTATGATTCATCTTGACCGGTTATTGATATGTTTATATACATTTATGTTTATCTGTCAGTCCTCTGTTCTTGACTGTTCGGCACCATCTTATATCTGAATAATATAAATAGGTTAGCATAGACACTATTTGTTAAGACATGTTTCTTTCTGCAAGCATTACATTTAACTAAAAACATAATATTTACAGCTCAGATCAGCAGTCTTATTTAGTTTTGGTTAAAGCAGCTGTATAATAAGTGGGATAATGTACAAACAGCGAGTTGTTCTAACACAATAAAGCCTTTCAGACTTGTACAACAGCCCCTCGCTTTTTGTGTCGGCCGCTGATAAGCCTGTTGGGCTTTATTCTGTGAGAACAACCAGCTGGATGTGCATTATCACTTCAAATGCATGGCATTAATTATCCAACATATACCTTGGTCATTTGCCAAGTATTAGTCAAGTTAAAACTAGTATTATCCCTTTGCAGTGCTATATTTGACAGAATGTGTAAAAACCATGTTAGATCTGCCCACTTTGAACCAGACGCAAGCAGACAGCGATAGAAAAAGAGACTGTGTTTTGTGTATGACATGGGCATATCTAATGGCTAGTCCAACACGGAATCTGTGCGAGCAGAAATCCACGGGTTTTCGCAGATTTTTAGCACATCGAGTCTATTTATTATTTTATTTACTTTTGTAGATGTGTGTAAATTTACATTTTTTCAGTTAATTAATTTCAGTAACATTATTGACTAATTATTATTGAGATATTTTCTGTCTTTTTGTAGAGATATTATATATGAGACTTGCTTTGTTCAACTATTAAATGAATGTAATTGGATTTGCAATGGAAAAACTATATGAAAGTTAAAAAGGTGTTATTTTTTTTATTTCATATATCAAATTTTTAGTTACGATACTCCCAAAATCATTCCGCTTAAATCCGCAGATTTTTTACAAAATTCTGCACAGATATAGCAAAAAAAAAATGTCCGCAGATTCTGTCTGGCCCAACTAATGTGTTCATTTGTGTAGAATGTGTAAACTGTGTAGATTTTGCAAATTGCTCATGGTCAAACATGGTTACTGCTACTGTTTGTATATAGTGCGTGTATTTATGACTGTGAACAAGACTGACATGAACTACCTGTGCGTTAACTGATTTTTTTGGCAGAACTTTCAGTCAATAAGAAATGCAGTGTGTGTGCGGTGTATTTTGGTTTTATAACACGCTTTTGATTCAAATCTTTATATGTTAAATGGTCCTCAAATTAATCTCTAAGCTTCTATAAAGAATAGAAGTTAACAATGATTTAATGTGGTATTTTCAGTTGGTTCTATAGTTATCCTTTAAATAATCTTGTTATCAGTTTAACTATGTAACTGCTTCTTTCCAAATGTTCAAAAGCTGGTTGTTTGGATTTTTGACATAATTTTATTTCATCAGGTCAAACTGAGATGTTGTTACTAGTGGCTGACCCACAAATACTTATTTTTTTCACATGATCTTAATAGTTTGGATTTAAAAGGTTACTTTCAAATTTTGCTTGTATTTATCAATAAAATTTTAAGTTATTCTGAGTTATTTGTTTGTTGTTTGAGTGTTGATGATTGTTGTTTTCTAACTGAATTAATTTATAGTTATACTTACTAATAGGGCTGGACGATTTGGCCTAAAATCTAAATTTCAATTAATTAACATTTTAACTCGATTATGATTATTGAACGGTTATTTTAATTATTAATTTTATTTATTTATATATCATAGTTCACTGACAAGTTTTGCACATAAATATGCTCACATATTACAAGTCAGAGATTTTTGAGCGTATGATGCATTACTTGATTTTAAAATAATTGAAGTAAACACACACTATCTATTGTCTATGATTATTTATTGAACATCAATGCTGAACAACTGAAATTAAAACACATTGCCTAAACGTGGCTCTCTGGGCCGCCTACCAACGTCACCACTACCAAATCGACCAATCAAAAAGTTTGTGAAACGCATCTTTGTGTGTAAGTACATTTTTCTGAAAGGTGCGTGGGTATGCGAAGGCTGCACCAGACTGTACGTTTGTGCTTGGCAGAACTATCATATCAGAATAATATAATAAGTATAATTCAGCCTTAACAGAGCGAGGTCACATGACTTCACACACGGTAGGGAAAATATTTGAAAAAGTTTACTTGAAAAAATTTGATTGATTATAGGTTCTGAATGTCGATTTCAATTTCTTTTCGATTAATCGTCCAGCCCTACTTACTAATTAATTTTTGTTGTGCATTAGCAGTTCGAATGGGCTCCAAAGACCAACGGCACAGTCGTGTAGACATTTTCCACCAGGGCTATGTGGGGCCACTGGAGGCCCTTCCCCGGGCAACCACGTTCCTAGAGGAGGACAGGAGCCTGGTGGCTCTGCGGAGGCAGGCGGTGAAGATGGCAACCAAGTCCCAGGCAGTGAGTGATACAGCGTCTTGCTATGCATTGATCATTTTGATTAGATCTTTGATTAGAAAAAAATTGGATTTATTTTTTTTTTTATTTCCACAGGGTGGTGAGATGTCTCTTGAGCAACTACTGGCACTTTATGGGTACAAAATGCCTGATCCTGTCCTGCAACAACAGGAGCCGAATGAGCTGGCAGCCAGTCTGCCTGAAATCACACTGGACAAGGTTAAAATTCTTCTACAGTAAACACTTATAAAATGCTGCTTATTTGCATTTTTTAAATATATATGCAAGAGTTGGACAATGAAAATGAAACACCTGGTTTTAGACCACAATAATTTATTAGTGTGGTGTCGGACCTTTTTTGTGGCCAATACAGCATCGATTCATCTTGGGAATGACAGATACACAGTGGCCAGAGGGATTTTGAGCCATTTTTCCTGCAGAATAGTGGCCAGGTCACTACATGATGCTGGTGGAAGGAAAACCCCACTCCTATTAAAACACTCTAAAATGGCTCAATAATATTTAGATCTGGTGACTGTGCAGGTCATGGGAGATGGTCTACTTCACTTTTATGTTCGTTAAACCCTTCTGTCACCAGTTTAGTTGTGTATTTTGGTGCATTCTCATTCTGATACAAGGCACCGCCTTCAGAATACAATGTTTGAACCAATGGGTGATCCAGAATGGTTCAGTAGTCATTGGCATTGACTTGCCCTTCTTGCTCAAGAATTGGGCCTAGGGAACACCTTGACATTGCAGCCCAAACCATCACTGATCCACTGCCATGCATCACTCTGGGCATGAAACAGTCTGGATGGTACGCTTCTTTCTTCCACATTGTAACTCTCCTAAATGTGGGAAAGGCAGTGAAGGTGGACTCATCCGAGAAAAAATATGTTCCCTGTTGTCCACAGCCCGAGATTTTTGCTGCTGGCACCCTTGAAACCAGCGTTTGGCACTGGGATGAGTGACCAAAGGTTTGGCTATATGTTGCATGTATGTTGACCCTGTGTGGCTCCCGATGAACAGTTTTGGTGGAAACAGGAGAGTTGAGATGCACATTTAATTCTGCAATGAGTTCGGCATCTGTGGTTGTATGTTTTTGGATACAATTCGGGTTAGTACCGGGACATCCCATTTTAGATAGTCCACAGTTACTCCTGTTGGATGTAATTCGTCCTTCTGGGTAGTATGCTGGCATTACTCTGAATACTGTGGCTCTTGATACATCACAAAGACTTGCTGTCTTGGTCACAGATGCGCAACAACAGTTTGAACTTATAAACTCTGTCACCCATAATATTGTGTGCATTGCAATATTTTTAACAAAACAGTGCGATTACTCTGCTAATTAAACCTTCACACTCTGCTCTTACTGGTGAATGTCCAATCAATGAAGAAATTTAGCCATAAAACCTCCAACACTAAATAGTGTTAAAATAATAATAAATAATAACACTAACCAGTGTTTCAGTTTTATTGTTCAACCCCTGTATATATAGAAAGAAAAGCTTATAAACCTTTTTATTGCCAGAAAATATTAATTTCTTGTATTGTTTACCTTTCAAGATCTAAAAGAATTTTAGTTGTGGTTATACTATGTTAAAAAAAAACAGAAAACCCCTTTTATGGTGATCAAAGAGAGCAGCAGTGATTGTAGCACAAAGAAAGTTTTCATCTACAATTTCTGAATGCTACAGAAGTCAAAATTTAGTACAAAGTGTACAGGACATTTAATGGAATGACCCTAACAAATGTGGCCACAGGACATCAATAGCCTCACACAGGACATCAATAGCCTCATACAGGGAAAATTTTGCCATAATTTTTTTGTGTTTTTTGCAGTTGGGTTTAGATCAAGACTCTTGAACTTTCCATTTCATTATTTTTATTTCTTTCCTGCTCGGTGAACTACTTTACCCATTTTGCTGTGTGATGGGGTTCATTGTCCTCCATGAAAACTGCTAACTGATTGGGTGATGAATGCAGCAACTGCATGATTCAGAAGGAAATTTTGATAAACATTTGCATTCACTCAGTCATATATCTTTATTAGAGGCCTCTAAATTTAATCTGTGCTCTTTTAAAAAAAAGAAAAATATACATATTTATATTTTTATTTATTTTTTATTTTTTAAATATGTCCCAAATTATGTTTAACAGATCAAGGAAATTTTCACAGTATGTTTGATATAATACTTTTTCTTCTGGAGAAAGTCTTATTTGTTTTATTTCGGCAAGAATAAAAGCAGTTTTTAATTTTTAAAAAACATTTTAAGTTCAAAATTATTAGCCCCTTTAAGCTCGTTATACAATAACCTGCCTAATTACCCTAACCTGCCTAGTTAGCCTAATTAACCTAGTTAAGCCTTTAAATGTCACTTTAAGCTGTGTAGAAGTGTCTTGAAAAATATCTAGTAAAATATTATTTACTGTCATCATGACGAAGATAAAATAAATCAGTTACTAGAAATAAGTTATTAAAACTATTATGATTAGAAATGTGTTGAAAACATCTTCTCTTTGTTAAACAGAAATTAGGAGGGCTAATAATTCAGGGGGGCTAAAAATTCTGACTTCCATCTACTATACAAAATATGCATAAAAACTGCAACTGATCTAATTTTAAATTTAAATGTTTAAATTTAAGGATGTAGAAAAACTTGGCAAATTTGCATCACTAGTTTGATCCTGTTTAGAATTCTGGCTTTTCAATATTTTTGTAGGTTCAGATACATAAAGACCTGCTCTCTGGAGGGGAGGATGTGGACAACCATTCCTCTGCTGATGACCTCACACTCACCATCAAGTCCCATGCATCTGACCTCTTACAATGTCACCTAAGAGGTAGAACATCACACTATAATGCCTTAATTGTATAAATGTACAAGATGATTTCGCCACACTGAACATACTTTGAAATATAATTCTGTTTACTTTCTGTAAACCTGTCCAGGTGATGACAAAGACACTTCAGTTAGCTGTTCCGAAGATGACTCAGAAAGCACCTCCATCCCCTCCAGTGATGGCCGCAAAGTAAAACATTTTATTGTTATACTCATCTATGCTTAAATGCTGGTGAACAATTTTAGGAGCTTATACAATAGTAACAGTACAGTCTTAACTTGCCAATTTAAAAAAAGTATAAATTTGACTGGTCCAAGTAAAGAGCCCAGTGGGACACCATATTTAAAGGCAATCCAAATTAATAGTTTTCTTATTCAACTTGTTCTTAAAAATTGTATGTAGAAAGCGCAATCTTGAGTTTTTTAGTCAGCAAGGGCACATTAATTTGAAGGATATACAAAAGATTTTGAAGGATTCTGTGACACTGAAGACTTGAGCAATGACTGCTTAAAAATAGGCTTTGCCATCAAAGAAGACGCAGTAAACAGTAGTTTTAGCTGTAATGAACTTTCATAATATTACTTTTCCCAAATTATATTTTGATAAAAATAAATGGAACCTTTGCTTCAAATCTTTTAAAATCTTACTGACCACAAACATTAAAGGTCACCTATGATGAAAATCTTCTTTTGTAAGCTGTTTAGACAGTGTGTCTGTATAGTGTGTCCACAGTCATATTGGAATGATATAAAGACAATTAGTATATTTTTTTGAATTTCCAAATCCCTCCTTTTTTTAGGCCCACTGCAACGTGATGTAGGAGTGCGGTTTCCCCGCCCACAGAATTGATTGACATCCGCGTATTAACATGTCTCGTAGTAGCATGTATAATCATATCAAAGCAACTGGGATTAAAAGATCTTTTTAGCGCTCTGTGATCATCAATCATCAGTCAAATGTGATCAAGAATGACTTTTACAAGTTTAAAGCGTTTTTAAAACAGTGCATGCCTGTAATGAATTACAGCAATTTTAACTTCTTTGTCACCACAGCCACATGTCGGTACAATTAGAAAGGAAGATGCTTAAATCCCGGTTTGTGGATGTTAAATCAGGTTCATTTTGTACATTAACGTAACATATATCCATACAACAGTGAACATTAACGTGTATCCTGTCACGTTTTGCCGTGCACAAACAGTGCAAAGTTAAACGCGATGTGTGTCTTTGTATGTTTGTTACATTGCAACAACATTTTGCGTGACTTATTGTTGCAGAAAGGCTTGAATTAACTCCACAACAAATACATCAAATAATCATTGGGAAAGTTCTTACTGTAGTATTTCTCTCAAACGTTACATGAGACTTGCTTTCTTCACTGTGCTGTTTATCTGATGCAGCCGAGGCGGTGATTGAGGCACACTGACAGGCACATGGGAATGGTGCTCACACCAAAGGCACAGGCAACTAAAACAGCTGTAATATGTTTAGAGCAGAAAATTCTAATGTTCTGAAAGGTATAATAAATAATCTGATGGGTGTTTTGAGCTGAAACTTTACAGACACATTCTGGATACACAAAAGGGGTAAAAAGGTGCCCTTTAAGTGTAAATAGAATTTAATTTTATATTTAAAAAAATGTCTGCTTAAATGGATAAAGAAAAAAAACTCATTACAGAAATAATTTTGTGCCATGTTTTGTTATCAGGATATCATGGTGGGGCCCCAGTATCAGGCTGTAATACCTTCTCTCTGTACACAAAGTTTTTATGAAAGAGGTAAGTGTGTTCTCTTCACTGATGTCCTTTGGATTGGCTCCAATGGCCTGTTTTGCATAACCGACCTGCTGAGTGCCCTGGGACCCATACCTATTTTGTTTCTGCTATCCCCAGCTTATGAAAATGAGGACCAGTTAGTGTGGACCCCAGACGTGATGTCCAGTCTGGCTGTAGAGAAATTTTTGCTTGATGCCCAGAGAAACGGGAGCGACAGTGGACCTACAAACACTTTGACCACTGGAGATAAAGTCAAAGACAATGAGCAGGTTGGGTTCAATCACACTTGTAACACTTATAATTGTTTTACTTGATAGTATTTAGTATTTACTTAATTTTCAAATTAATTTTAGCAATTAAATATTGATTGTTTAAATCCCCGGTTAGATCACACTATTTTTAATAATGGTTACAAAAGTCACTATGTCAGATTTAGCGAGAATTTAATAAAAACAAAATTTCCCTAATAAATTCTTAACTTGTCATGGGTAATAAATGAGCCAGACTACACGTTCTTTCATAATCAGTCATCCCTTGACGTCTACATTAAGCATTATTTCCCAAAGCAGTCACAAGTGTTACTATAATATATTTCTCATCTCAATTTCATTTTTTTTTTAAATCTTATTTCAATCTCAAGAAACACTGATGCTTGCAGACAACTAATAACTACATTATTTAAGGGCATTTGTGACGAAATGCATAGGAATAAACTTATGATTCCTTTTAATATTGAGATATTTTCTTCGAAATCTAAATGTATATTTTGCTGCCAATTCCTCGTCTGATCTTGCCGTGAGTGAGCCAGAGATAATAAAAGAAGAAGCAGCAGCAAGGAAAAATCAGATGCTTAAGACAATCTTTCAAATAATTACATATTTAAAAATTAGCAAATGTATAACTGAGATTTGTGATACAATCACAGTAAAGTATTCGTTAAATCCTTATTTTCCACAGAGCGAACCAAATCATACACCCATATAGATGAGTAGAGGACAGGCACAAACAAAAATATAATTAATATATTTTTCTTGGGAAAAATATAATTTAAACAAATTTCATTTGGTATAATTTTAATTTTAATGTATCTTTTGTTGGTCAGTTATCTATAAACAAGTATAACGAATAACATTTGAGGTGATCTGCTTCAAAATAAGTCTGCTTTGTGCGCCTTGAGAATTGCCTTGAGATTGTGTTGGTTTGTTAACTGAAATAATAATCTAGCCTAAATAAAATTGAATTGTAATATTAACAGTTTCAGAGAAGCCTATATTAAACTGTTTTTAATATTAATGACATATTTGAATAAGCAGGAAATCCTTTTGCAATGTATTCGCAACACTGAAAGTGTTCCCAGATTACCTCAGAAAAAGAAACTCTGTTGGAAGGTTAAGAGAACTCTGAAACTCATTGTGAGAATGAAAATGTCTGCATATTTGTGCCAGTCTGTCAGATACCATTGCTTAAAACACTTTAATATTTTAGAAAAGTAGTTTGCATGATTGATCATATCCACCCGTGACCCACCCATAAGTAAATATGCAGCCTGTTTTTGATTACCTCACCGGCGCATTAACGACAGCACCTGCTGATATAATAAAGAAATGATGTGGTCCTATTGCATAGTGTCACCCACTTGATGAAACCTGTCATGAAGAATGAGGAAAAAACTTAAACATGCTAGACTTTCTGTGACAGTGTCGTTAGGCGTCGCAGGCATAGTATCGGTTTTCGTGAACTATGCCATACTATACGAGAAGAAACGATTCAATCTTGTGCCACGAATCACGATGCCCATTTGTAATTTACAAATCCCCGCAACACCCTACATCAAGGAAATCGTGCCAAAATCATGTGATCTGACCAAGGCTTAAAGTCATTTTAGAATTTTCATAAAGTTTTTAAATTTAGTTTACAACAATGCTTGCTAGACAGTTTTTTATGTTAATTCATTTATATGGCAGGCCATTTTATGCAGTGCTTAACATATACACCCCTCAAAAGTCTCCCATTTCACATTATACATTACATTAGTCAGTACTGAAGCCAAATCTGGAGCTAATCTAACAAAATAACTTATGAGAACAGTCCAAAACTAGTACACCAAAATTTATGTTAGAGAAATATATTAAATAAAAAACATAAAAACAGCAAAATTCAAGAGAAATAAAAAATAAATACAATTTTGTTGAAATTCTATTGTTTGTGATTTAAATGTAAAAGTTTAATCTTTCTATTTCTAAACATGTTCAGTGACTGAAATATTGTTTTAATAAATATATTCCTTTAATGAATCTGGTTTGTTCAAATACACCCAAATATATTACCCATTATCACTGAGAAATGGGGTGTACTCGTTTATGTTCTGCTCTGTATATGTTTGAAGATACAATGTTAATTTCATTTCTGTAAAATAATAATTCTAATATTTGATACATTATTAAGTAGGGATGTGATGAGATCTCAGGCTACGAGATTTCAAGAGACTAAATTGCGACGAGATTTCTTGTTGAGGTGAAAAGTTGTTTCGTGAGTTGTTATGTTATGATAGAGATGAGGGTGAATTTAGCACTGAGGATTGGAGGCAGGATTGGATTAGAACGGCACATCATGTGCTTTGCACACAATGACAGGCTGGCCTCGGAGTTGTGCATCACTTGTTTGGGGCAGGTGAATGTGATTTAACCAATTTTTTCCTTTACCGGGTTTTAAGGGGTGCTGTTACCGGCAGCTACACACATTAACCACAGCTCATACCATAAGATGGAATAGCACTTTAGATATGCTTAAAGCCATATTCGTTGTAAACACTAATTACGAATTAAGATGGATTATTAAAGTGCAGTACAGACATGTAAACGATGTAATCAAACTGTTATCGTTGAGTAGGACTTTTTGCTGCATTTTGCGACAAGATAAGCCATACACACTTAGCTGTTTGACACTTTTCTGCACCCATCGAGGCAGTAAAGGACTACAGACACACACATCTCCTCCGAGTGCAAACACACACATGCACAGTGAACTCCTGAAGACGTACACCAGGCGTAGTCATTATCATCACTGAACACACATTTATGCTGTCCGGAAAAAAACAGAAGCTGTTGCTGAATGAAAGTGAAACTGCTGAAAAATGAAAAACTAAAAATGACATGATTACATAAATTATTTTTTTAAAAGTTCAATTTGTGGAAAGCAGTTCATTTTTTATGTGAACTTTTACAGGGAATAAGTTAGTCAGTAGAGTTTATTGCTAAATATTTAGCAGTGTTTGTATGTCCTTAATGGCACAATTCATTAAATAAATGTAAAATAACATTTATTACTAGTTGATTTAAAAAAAGCACCTGAATAGTTTTGCAATTTGTGATATTTTTTTTCAGTTGAATAAAATATTTTCCATTCATGTATTTTATCTTTGAAGATTTGTTAAAAATACTGTTCAAATCTCTTCTCATCTCATTCTTGTGAACCCCATCTTGTATCTCGTCTCGTGGAGTAAGCAGCTCGTCACACCCCTATTATTAAGTTGTAATGGCCTAGAATAGAGCCCAGTGGTACGCCATAGATAATAATTATTGCTGGTTGGCCATTCTATGTTTTTGCAAAATAAATATGGCTTTCTTAACCGCATTTTTATTTATTTATTTTTTTAATCAATAGGCCATTTGTTGTGTGCGAAAAATAAAGGAGTGGATGCAAAAAATTAATATTTTCTTACAAATTTGTTTGTAAATATGTATGTGCATTCTAAAATGTTACAGACCGTTTTTCATTTGCGCTCTCGTATTCTTTGTTTAGTGATCTTTAGTGATTCATGTTTTGGTCTTTCAGTGATTACACTTAGTTTTCCATCTCTTTTGTAGGCTCTTTATGAACTAGTGAAATGCAACTTTAATGCAGAAGAGGCACTAAGACGATATCGCTTTAATGTTAAGGTATTCAATGGTAAGACCTCTGTAATTTTCTAGCTTTGCATTTTTTAAGGCAGTTACAATTTGTGCATTATGATATGTATATCTGGTTAATTTCATTGTACAAATATTCCAGAGGAGCTTTGTGGCTGGAGTGAGGAGGAGCGTCGTTACTTTGAGCATGGTTTCCGTGCCCATGGGAAGAACTTCAACCTCATACAGGCCAATAAGGTTACAAAACTGTCTCATAACACACATTATATCCTAGTAGGCATTGAGTTGTTTGACTTATTTTTTTAAGATGTGCCTATTAATGTGCTGGTCTCCCTTATTCACCCTCACTCAGGTCCGCACACGCTCAGTGGGTGAGTGTGTTGAGTACTACTACATGTGGAAGAAATCAGAGCGGCATGAGTATTTCACACAGCAGGCCACCAAGCTGGGTCGAAAAAAGTGCAATCTGCCATCTGGGAATATGTGAGTTTGTTTGTTTGTTTTTTAATTGCTTGATTGTTACAAATCTTTTTAAGTAATGTCTAAAAGATTTAAAAGTAATAATTAAGTGACCTAACATTTACTATAATTAATACTTCCTCATATAAAATTGAATTATTTACAATTTCTAAAATATGTAGTTTTTAAAATATTAAAACAATGATCTAATGACAACAATAGTGTGTGTGTGTGTGTGTGTGTCTGTGTGTGTGTGTCTGTGTGTGTGTGTCTGTGTGTGTCTGTCTGTCTGTCTGTCTTGGAGAGGGTGCAGATTATAGTTTTAGTTTTTCTACTAATATAAAAACTGAAATGTGAAATTAGAATGGTCTAACAATAGAGCCCTGTGGCACCCCATACCAAAAGCTCTTATTTTAAAGTTAGAAAATCTAATTTGTTTTTAACAAATATATGACTGAAAAAAGTCTTGTCGTCAATCCCACTTGTAAGAGCGACAAATAAAAACTTGACTTCTAGTTGATCATTTGGAAAAGTGGCAGAAAGTAGATTTTTCTAATGAATCATCTGTTGAACTGCATCCCAATCATCACAAATACTGCAGAAGAGCTATTGGAGCCCGCATGGACCCAAGATTCTCACAGAAACTCTGATGAATGAACTCTGGGAGTCCTGCAAGAACGCTTTCTTTGCCATTCCAGATGACTTTATTAATAAGTTATTTGAGTCATTGTAGAGATGTATGGATGCAGTCGTCCAAGCTTATGGGAGTCATACACAATATTAATTGTTTTTCCACTGTAGCATGACTTTATATTCTATACTGTACATTATTTCTGATAAGTGACAAGACTTTTGTCTAAGCAAAGTCAGAACTTACTGTCCTAATTAAATAATTAAAAATCAAGGCATAATTATATTTTATTTTGGTAAAATAAGCGTAATCTTGAGGTATTTGCCTTTCATATAAGTCACTTGAAGAAAGTCAAGTTATTATTTGATGTTCCTAGAACTTGGATAAGGGACAAGATTTTTTCAGGTAGTGCATATTTTAGTTTATATAACTTTACCATTTAAACAAGGTCATATAAGTTTTTATGTATCTCAATGATAATATTTAGTCTGTTGCATTTGATGTGTGAATAAAAATGATCACATTTAGGAAGAAACAAAGTTTGACATCTTTTAAATTCTGCCCATTTTATCTGGAAATTCCATCAATGAGTGCGGAAAGACAGATTGTAAAGAAAACTTAGTTCAAACGACTGATCGTTCATCCTGTTTAAAGCTAGCTATAGAATGAAATGAATGTGAAAGAACATTTCACATAAACACTCAGTATTGTGTTTTTTTTTACAGTGGAAAGATCTCACTAAAACCACTTGTAAATGATGTCCCACATAGCATTACATTTAGCCCAAGCAAGTCATTCAGTTTCCAAATATTTGCCAGAATTGATAGCCTAAATTTTTTCCTAGCCTGTTAGAGGTGTCTAGATTATTAAATTTATATGCTTAAATAGATCTGTCACGAAAACTAGTTATGAAAGCCACTGTATCAGCAAAATATCAGAGTTGCAACCTAATTTTACAAATAGATTTAAAGATTAATGTATTTAACTGATTCTAGTACAGTTAGTAATTACAATACCAATCTTAACCAAGATTGTAGATTATTGATGTTTGCCTGCCATTCTCTGTCTGAACTGTGTCTGTAGTGTAAATGCTGCAATAATATAATCCTTTTGAGGAATACAATTATATATTTTGAAAGGCTGGTAGGACATAGGCCTGTCACAATATCTATTTTTGTATTATGGTATATAGCACCAAAATATATCGTGATAAACGGTATTATTGACATGGTAGGAACATTTTATGCTACTCATTATTTAAAGCCAGAATGACAATATAACAGCATCTCAATGCTAGTCCACTCTTCCAAACAACACATAATATTTCATTCATTCATTTTCTTTTCGGCTTAGTCCCTTTATTAATCCGGGGTCGCCACAGTGAAATGAGCCGCCAACTCATCCAGCATTTGTTTTACACGGCGGATGCCCCTCCAGCTGCACCTCATCACTGGGAAACATAATATAGAATATTTAATTAAGTTATAGTCATTTTAACAATCTCATTAGTAGGCATTAGAATCAGAATGTGAAAAGGTGTATCCTAAATAAATGTTAACAAAAAAGTGCAAGGTAAAAAGAACAGAAAACTGCGATATCTGCTACCAGATCTATTCTCAGTTATTAGACACGCACATGAAAATATACTGTAGTAATTTATAGTCAATACTATAGTGTTTTCTTAACCCTACTGACACTGACAGCTCCAATAGAGATAGAGATGAGGCACAATCAGCTAAAATGGTGATATATATTGCATCACCAAAAATGATTGAGGTCATATCCATGTGTTGTGCGATAAGTCGATATTGATCATTGTGACAGGCCTGGTAGAACCAAACATTCTGATTGGGCAACATTTAGGATTCTACACCTTCAACAGAAAATTAAAATACAGATAAATACATTTAGACCACTCAGTTTAATGATTGCCATCATGATGTTTTATAAGCATAAAAATATTGTTACTAAAGACAATCACCTCATATACATTAAATTGCAGCCCATAACATTATAATAATGTGCAAGTACTTGGCTCCCCATTAAAATTTACTGTTAGATGTTTTTTTAGCTTTAGAGAGCTGTCATTAAAACAGTAGCACAAATCGTTGAGGAAAATTGAGGAATTTGATATTTAGCTTTGCCTTGATATTCTGAAAAGATAATGAACTAGGGATGCTCCGATTCCTAGTCATGATAATCGGCCAATTCTGATGCTACAGGCTTTATAATGCATTAAGCACATTTTGAGTCCAAGTATGATACTTAAGTGGAGATCTTGCCCTACCGCAGAGAATAAATGTCACTAATAACAATTTAGTGCGACATGTCATGGTTAGAAGCAACTTCACAGAACAAAATAGATAAAACATTTAAAAAATCACCAATAAAGCAAATTGGAAACATTGCAAATCATGGAAGAAAAATTCAACATGTCTCAATGAAGTTACGAGTACAAAAGGAGTTAAAATGCTCACCCATAAATCCATTACTTCTTTACTTAGAAGAAATAGGTCCATTATCTACTGCTTTTTACAATTTGTATATTACAATAATTTATATTAATAAATATTCATTCATTTTCTTTTTGGCTTAGTCCCTTTATTAATCTGGGGTTGCCACAGTGGAATAAACTGCCAACTTATCCAGCATATGTTTTATGCAGAGGATGCCCTTCCAGCTGCAACCTATCACTGGGATACACTCAAACACTCTCACTCACACATATACACTACGGACAATGTAGTCTACCCAATTCACCGGTACCGCACGTCTTTTGGACTTGTGGGGGAAACCGGAGCACCCAAAGGAAACCCACATGAACACGGAGAAGACATGCAAACTCCGCACAGAAATGTTAACTGACCCAGCCGAGGCTCGAACAAGCGACCTTCTTGTTGTGAGGCGGCAGCACTACCTACTGCACCACCGCGTTGCCATTAATAACTATTCAAGTTAAAAATTAAAAATTGAACTTGCAATTAGAGTTGTACGGTTTACCAATACTATAGTAGTATCATGATACTATGGCTCCAAAATAGTTTGTAAATGGAAGTTTTAATTTTTGACCACTTCATATAGCATTCGTTTGTTGGAAAAATGCTCTTTTTGTAACAAATTTTGTTTGGTATAATTTGTATCTTTATTTTTATTTTTTTCGTACAAATACATTTTAGGTGAGAAGACGTGCAAATACTTTTTTTTTTTTAATAATAAGGGAATTAATAATTCACTTCAAGTAGACTATTGTAACAAATAAAATATAGCATTTCTGACATTTTTCTTTATTTCATGCATTTGAGTTATGAATTACAGTATTGCAGTACTACTACTACTACTACTACTGTATCGCAAAGTGAATTAATAGTATAGTGACAACTGTGCTTGCAATATTGTTGAAAACGCAGAACATTCAGTTCTGATATTTGAAATGATTTCAGTTCTTATGTGTTCTCTGCTTGTAAACTCGTAAACAAACAATTGTAATTGGTTCATGAGTACTGATCGAGTCATGAAATGTGACCGATACCGATCTCTGGTTGATAAATCTGAGCAGTTGAAATCAAAATTATTAGCCCCCCCCCCCTTTTTTTATATATATATTTCCCAATTGCTATTTAACAGAAAAGGACATTTTCACTGTATATCTGATAATATTTTTTCTTCCGGAAAAGTAATAATTTGTTTTATTTCGGCTAGAATAAAAGCAGCTTTTAATTTTTCAAAAAACATTTTAAAGACAAAATTATTAGCCCCTTTTAAGCTATATATTTTTACGATAGTCTACTGAACAAACCATCGTTATACAATAACTTGCCTAATTACCCTAACCTGCCAAGTTAAAATAATTAACCTAGTTAAGCCTTTAAATGTCACTTTAAGCTGTGTAGAAGTGTCTTGAAAAGTATCTAGTCAAATGTTATTTACTGCCATCATGTCAAAGATAAAATAATCAGTTATTAGAAAAGAGTTATTAAAACTATTATGATTACAAATGTTGAAAAAATCAAAAATTGGGAAAAAATAAACAGTGGGGCTAATAATTCAGACTTTAACTCTATATACATATTTGTATACATATCTCATAGAGAGGATACTGAGCCAGATGGAGATACTGGTGATGTGGAGGTTGCCACACAGGGTTTGCCAACCAGGTCTTCCATTCAACTCCAAACTCCATCGCCACCTACAGTCATGGAGCTGAATAAACAAGGTACTCTTTTAATCCTTGGATGTGATACATACTCCATATGCTTAACAGTTCATTGCAGACAAGTTTCAAGCAGCTTCCTCATTTACACTCATTTATGTCCTACATAAATGCTTTTTTGTCTTGATTTTGATCTGGATGCTCAGAAGGTTAGAATTTGTTTCATTGCAGTTTTCCATCTGCCTGCATTTTCCCATTGTCTTTGTGTTCTTTATGTTCCATTGCCTTTCATTTGGTGGTCTGATCCAGAGGAGAGCCTGAATTGTGCAGCTCAGTTTCAGGGTCGTCCACGCCGGAAACGCACACCACGCTTCCTGTTAAAGCCCTGAGCTTGCTGCTCACTGACAGCCTAAAACTGACAGACACACAGGTAAAAGCAGTGATGTAGAGTCTCTCTGGAATTGAGGAATCAGTTTTCATGCCACTATCTTAAACTATTTTATATAATTAAATAAGTATTACACTTGTTTTTTGTTAAATAGAATATTTCACTCTAACAAATGCATTTTCTCAGATTATTTCGTCAAATATTGATTTTATTTTTAATGTACAAAACATGTTTTCTATTTTTTTTTTCTGCGTCTCCATAACTTTGCATCCTGAAAAATTCTGCACTGTTAGATGCAATTACACATATACAGTTGAAGTCAGAATTATTAGCCCCCCCTGAGTTATTAGGTACCCTATTTAATTTTTCCTTTAGTTTCTGTTTAACAGAGAAAATATTTTTTTCAACACATTTCTAATCATAATAGTTTTAATAACTCATTTCTAATAACTGATTTATTTTATGTTTGCCATGGTGACAGTAAATAGTATTTGATACTTTAAGACACTTTTATACAGCTTAAAGTGATATTTAGAGGCTTAACTAGGTTAATTAGGTTAACTAGGCAGGTTAAGGTATATAGGCAAGTTATTGTATAATGATGGTTTGTTCTGTAGACTATCAGAAAAAATATATAGCTTAAAGGCGCTAATAATTTTGACCTTAAAATATATATATATTTAAAATGTAAATCTGCTTTTATTCTAGCTGAAATAAAACAAATACGACTTTCTCCAGAAGAACAAATATTATCAAACATACTGTGAAAATGTCCTTGCTCTGTTAAACAATATTTGGGAAATATTTAAAAAAGAAAAAAAATTAAAGGGGGGCTAATAATTCTGACTTCAACTGTATATATAATTTAAAAACTTAACTTGGCTATTTATTTACGTATCATCTTACAAATTTACTAATATAGTTTTTATAATATTTTTTTAATTTGGTTTAAAATTATTTTTAGAACTTAGTAGAGGTATACATTTCATACCAAAACTTTCATTTTATTACTTTATTTTTACTTTTATGTACTGTGATTACTTTTTTATGTTTTAGAATTAGAAATATTAACCCTTTAACTGCCCCACCTAGAAAAGAAAAGTGTTATTTATTTATTTATTTTTACTAAATTTTAAGTTTTATAACCTCTACCAAATGGTTGATATGTCGGTTTATGGTGAAAGTACTAGAATTAATTTATATACTATAAAAATCATCTGAAAATATGATGTGTAAGACTAATTTATTAAAAAATATCATCAATATAAAACATTTTCGAATATTAAATCACCTTTATTTTTTGCCATAAAATATTTCAGATTCTCTTTTCTCATTCTTATTTTATTTCAGCTGGTTGCCGAGGCAAGATTGTACATTTTTTATTTTAGTAATTTTTGTTGTATGCTTTGTCAGTTTATTAGTTTTGCATTTAGATTCATTTTTAGTTGATTTTTAAATTTAGTTATTTTATTTTAGTTAGTTTCCAACAAAACATGGCCTTTCTTCTTATTATAAATACTTGCTTTAATTCACGATCATGATATCACACTTAAATCATATCTATTGGCATCACTGAGAACGTTTACATGGACACCAATCATTTTAATACGATTAAGACAATACTCTGATTAAGAGACGACCATGTAAACAGCGTTTTTTGATTCATTTAATTTGATTAAGGTCATAAACTTAGCAGAAATAGAATTAAGACTTGGATTATGCTGATTTTAGTCGATTATTGAAGTGCAGTACAGACATGTAAACACTGCAATCAAACTATTACCATCGTTTGACACTATTCTCTGCACCTACCAAGTCATTGAAGGAACACAGACACCTGCATCTTGAAATGCTGAGTTTTCTTTTTATGCAGCGTGCGTTATCAAATTCTATTAAAACTAAACTCCTCCTGCAGTTCATACTCGCATCCAATATCTCGTTTGTCACAGGGGGCATGCATAAAATGTTTCTTAATAGAAGTAAAAGTGTCAAACTGTTGTTGAAGTCGACAAATTAAAGATGAAGTACCCGACATGTCGATAGCATGGTGAAGCAATGAGATTAATCGAATCATGTGCTACAATATGTAAAACGGGATCATGAAAGGAACATTCAATAAGAAACTCATACTAAAATCTTAATCATATTATTGTCTTAATTAGATTAAGGCCAATAATTTGATTACTGATGTCCATATCAATGTAGTCAATGATTTAAAGATTGGAAGACTAATCCCAGTTGATTCTTTAAAAAAGTTCTTAGCTAAATTTGTATTTATTTATTTTTTACAGCAGAAGCTCATCATACATCTATTCCCTTTCTGATTTTTTTTCCACAGATCTGGACCATGTTTTCTTAATATGCCCATCATTTCTTGTTTTTTTCAGCTTGTGAGCGAAACATTGGGGAGATTGACCTGTGTGCAGGTTGTTGCTCTGGCCCACAGGGGGAGCAGTTGTTCAGCCAGTTTACTCTTCCTCCAGTGCTCCAGATGCCAGACGTGGTCTCCCTATCCACCCAGCTTTACTTCTCCCAAATCTCCCGAAGACACTCCGTCCCATCATCCCACCTGACTCAGGGCTCCTGGGAGCAGGGTTTTACAAGCTTCAACTCGGGTCTTTTGCTGACGATCCTGCACCTTCCTGCTCAGAGTGTGTTGCTTCACCGAAGCTTCAGTTTGACTTTTCTTTACCTTCCTCACCATCCGTCCTAGACTTTGGTGTGATTAGTAGTCCATCTTCCTCCATCTGCTCGACACAACAATGAAGGAAAAACATTCCACATCTAAGGAAAAGTGACGACTGTCGTTCACTTGGAAAAGAAAAATGTTCACTCTTCAGGAGTTTTCAGCATCTTTGGTCATCATTTAATCAGCTTCATAATACTCCAAAGTTTGACTTCTTTCTGAGGTACACGAAATATATTTTTTAAACTACTATTGTGTGTGTACAATAGAAGTCAATGGGGTCCATAATGCTAAAGATTAAATTACATTAAGATAGCATACATTTGGCAGCATATGGATTACTTACAAGTTTTTGTGCTGTAAAAATTTCAGAACACATTGTGGACCCCGATGACTTTAATTCTAAAAGAAACTTTTGGACCCCATCGAATTTCATTAGAAGTGTTTGGACTCCATTAACATTCAGAAAGTCATACTGGTTTGGAATGAAATAGTAAATACTTAAAGTTTTTGTGTTGGCTATCTTTTCAATCAAAGAGTGTCATCAGCATTTCCTCATGACGTCAAAATCCATGTTGTCTTCAACAACAAAACTAAAGGAATGTGACTGCTGTTGTTTCCTCTGAAATTGCACGTGTTGCTCTTCAGTAAAACCTGAATTTAATGAGATGTTTTGACAAAACCCAAACCATATTTTTTCCGTACAATAAAAGTCATCAGAGTCCAAAATGCTAGCATACATTTTCATTTTTAAAAGAATCTTTAAGACCACGTTGATTTTTAGTAAAAAAAAAAAAAGACTTTTGGACCCCGTCAGTTTTCAGGTTTGGAATGAAATAATTCTGCTTTTTTGATTTATATTTCTTTGTTCCAGGAATCTTTTAAATGTTTTTCCGCATTCAGAGCTGGTTGTTTTCAACTAAACTAAGAAAACGTGACAACTGCTGCTCACCTGGAAATTTTAGTGGACCCCACTGAAGTGCAATGTAAAAGAAAGAGCTTTGGGTCCATTGACTTTAATAGTAATGGCATATATTTGGCAACATATGGATTACTTTTATTCTACCTTTATGTTTATGAAACCTTTTTTAAAGAAACTTTTGGACATCATTAACTTAATTTTTTTTTTTTATATAATCTTTTGGACCCCGTTGATTTTTAGCATAAAAAGACATCAGGTTTGGAATGAAATGAGTAAATTGATTTACTTTTCTTTTTCCCATAAATCTTTTGAATGTTTCAAATGTTTCTCCGCATTCACAACAGGTTGTTTTCAACTAAACTAAGAAAACGTGACAACTGCTTCTAAACCTGGAAATTGCAGAAAAGCCTGAGAGAGAGTTTAGCCAAATAAGATAGCTTGACCATTAAAATGGCCTTGTGTTGTCTTTAACCTGTTGAGTTGTTTTAGCAGATTTTTGTCCATTCAAACCAAGTCAATGGGGTCCAAAACGTTTAAGCTCTAACAATTAGAAAAAGATAGCATAAAAATAATCCACACTCTACCAAAAGGGTACTAGCATACTAAATACTAGAGCTTTGGACCCCACTGAAGTGCAATGTAAAATAAAAAGCTTTGGGTCCATTGACTTTAATAGTAATGGCAAATATTTGGCTGCATATGAATTACTTTTATGCTACCTTTATGTTTATGAAACCTTCTTTTTTAAAGAAACTTTTAGACATTATTAACTTAATTTTTTTTAAATAACCTTTTGGACCCCCTGATTTTTAGTATAAAAAGACACTTTCGGACCTCGTCAGTTTTCAGGTTTGGAATGAAATAATTCTGCTTTTTTGATTTACGTTTGTTTTGATTATCCCTTAAATCTTTTAAATGTTTTAAATGTTTCTCCACATTCAAATCTGGTTGTTTTTAACTAAACTAAGAAAACGTGACAACTGCTGCTCACCTGGAAATTGCAGAAAAGCCTGAGAGATAGTTCAGTCAAACACATTAAATCACCCTTGTGTTGTTTCAAACCTGTTGACTTGTATTAGCAGATTTTTGTCCATTCAATGGAAGTGAACGAGGTCCAAAACGTTTAAGCTCTAACAATTAGAAAAAGATAGCATAAAGTAATCCACACTCTACAAAAAATGTACTACCATACTAGAGCTTTGGACCCCACTGAAGTGCAATGGAAAAGAAAAACCTTTGGGTCCATTGACCTTAATAGTAATGGCTTATATTTGGCAGCATATGGATTACTTTTCTGCTACCTTTATGGTGCTCACGTTTTAACACCAATGTACTTTAATAGTAAAAGGAAGCTTTTGGACCTCACTGACTTTCAGAAAGTCCTTCAGGTTTGAAACAAAATGAGGTAAAAACGTCTTTGATTAATTTGTTTTGTGTGTTATTGATCTCAAGGAATGTGTTCAAAAGTTATTCATGTCATTTACTCCATGTAGTTTTCACCTACTCATCTGAATGGGTGTTTTAGGGAACTGACTGTCTCTGTCAGATTACTACATGCAATGAAAGTGTTAACTACCTAATTTTAGGCTTTGGAAATATGCAAGGACTTAAATCCTGCTGGGATGTTCGATGGTCTCAATAAGGATAGTTTTGGTACCTGTTTGATAATAGTTGTTCCTGTACAGTAAATAGTTTCTTTCATTGCATGTAGCACATTTAAACTCAACTCTTTTTTTTTTTTAAATGCCTTATTTTTTTCAAAGAATAAAAGGTTTTACTCGTATCATCAGGAATGAACTACTAATGCAGTCATGTTGTGCTGTCGTTTGTTGCGATACCTGTTATGAGGTTCGAGCTTTCCCATTGTAGAAAACTTCTCTGTGCAATAAACACAAAAAGAAAGAAAAAAGTACAAGTTCCTCAGGGGCTTTGATCGTTTCCCTCTCGGTCTAGTCCGTCAGTACTTCAGTACTAAGTGTTGAAGAGGGTTTTTGAATGGTTTATGCCAATAAATGTCATCCTGATATTAGTGGTTAAGTTTCTCAGGTTTTGCTGCCAATTCATTTGCGTGAAGCCACAACTTGTCAGAACCCAGAATCTTTCTTCACTGTTTGGAGAAACTGGCACTGCCAAATCTAGCGTAGTGCCTCTTTTGTGACTTGACTTTTTGTAAAGCATCACATATCATCATCATCATCATCCTGGTCACATTAATCGCTCAGATCAGTGTGTTTGCTAATTGTTTAGTCGGCTTTAAGTTTTGTGTGTAGTTTACACAAGGTTCAGAAGATACGAAAGGGAGACAAACACTGCTTTGACTTACTTTACCCTTTTAAAGCAATTTATGTATTATTGCTCCTGTTATGATGATTTATTGTCCCTGTTATTATATTTTGTAAATAATAATAAAAATTTGAAAACAAATGTTGTCTTAGTTAATGATACACATCGTATGTGATACCTACTCATAAAAAAAATTACCAAAATGTATGACTTTTGTATGTATCTTTGTATGGTTGGTAGCCTCATTTTAATACATTTTCTAAAGTTTTTATATCATTTTCATTTTGTGTCTTTTCCAGTAAGTCAATGACAGATGACGTCAGAGATGACAGCTTGCCATGTCTCAGTACTGAAGCTTAAATATATTCTCTGTTTTATTTGTTATCAGATCATCAAGTGATGTAAATATAGGTAGATAATCATAAATATAATATCAATTTATTCGAGCTCCCGTAACATTTTAATGTGCAGTCTTGTCAGTGTCCACTAGAGGGCAGATGCTACTGTCAAAGCATCCTTCATTACCTTCAGTGTAATCAGCAACAGCCCACTAGCTTACATTAAGCATAGTATAGCCTTTCCAAACGTTATGGACTGGGTGTACAAGCTAAGTTTGTATTGTGACATTTAAAATTGGTTAGGGTTTTCCTTAACTTCAAAAATGTAAAGCACTATATTTTGTCATATATCATATTCAAAGAGGTGTGCCATCTAAAAATATTCCCAAAGCACTCATGACCACAAAAAACCTACGCTGTCTACCTAACCAAAGCAGCTTTTGAACATTAAATTATGAAACATTACTCTGAAAGTTTGAACAAACATTAAGGGGACAGAGCAATTGACAACATTAGGCAAACAATGTTATAACAATGTTCTAAAGCCTGTGTGTGCACATTTGTAAATATAACTTGTTTATTCATGGTTACCGCATTTTTATAAGCTTGATTTTTTTTATTGTTGCAGTCAGCTTACGTATACACTCTAAAAAAATCAGTCATGACAGCATGTTTTTAGTTCATTGTAACTAATGAAACTAAGTTAATCATGTTCTAACTTAGTTACACAAACTGTTTAAGTCAGTTTAACATAATGTATGTTCAATAGACTCATGAGGGTAATCAGATTTAGCTTAAAAATTTAAGGCAAGCAAGATTTTTTTTGTCGGTGTACATTTTCCCTGATCATCAGGCTACTTTATGAACATTTTAACAAAATATGTGGATTGTAAATTAGTGATTTAGGAGATTTTTGGAGCTTAATTAGGAGCCCCCTGGGATTTATTCTGGGACCATCAAAGTTTTGATTTGTTAGGTGTTAACATGGCAGCAGAAAGATAGATAGATAGATAGATAGATAGATAGATAGATAGATAGATAGATAGATAGATAGATAGATAGATAGATAGATAGATAGATAGATAGATAGATAGATAGATAGATAGACGGACGGACGGACGGACGGACGGACGGACGGACAGACAGACCTAGATTACAGTTATTGTAACAGACAAATAATAAATCACAACATTTGATGTAGTAACAGATACTGATACAGATTAATGACAGATAAACGTAATTCAAATAACTGCCCGTGTTTAAATATACGGAATGATGTGCCATAAAATTATATGTGCCACATTCCATTGCCTTGCGCTTCGGCTCAAAGTACAATTTATGCGCATGCGCAACTCCACACACACTCACAGCTCAAGGTGTGGACACGGCGAGAGTGCGAGTGGGAACAGCTGGCGTGCTTTTGGAAAAGGAGTGGATACGTCCTCAAAAATCTACTGGAGGGGTGAACACCGGTCCGTTTTTACAAAAGCAATATGTACACCAACGTAAAACTGTTGTCACCCTTTGAAGTTTTTGATTTATAAAGACGATAAGGACTCGCGTTTCTCCGTCACCTATGAGCTGAAGAGAAGTACGTACAGCGCAGGTAAAACAGCAGAGCCGGAAGAACTCGCATTACTGGTCGCGTTTGTTTTGGTTCTTCCAAGTGGATTGCGTTTGACATTATCTCATAAATGAGGTAACGTTAAAGTACTCGTTTTAAAGTGCAAACAAACTAAAGAAAACATGTCGGACATGGGGAAAAAGAAACTCTTCGTCCTGGTGGACGTGATGTGTGTTGTTGTAGGTAAGTGAGATTAACGTTTTATAAGTTTTGAAGTTCATTTCTAAACTTCCATGCAGTTATTTTAGCTTTTTGTACATACCTGATAGGCTCAAAACAAACAAAAAATGTAGTTTATTGACTAGACAAACGTTTTAAAAAAGATTTTATGATCAAATGTATTTAAATATATGGAAGTAAAATGATAACTATAGATAGCTATTTGAGGTTTATTATACACTATTTATTTTATTTTGAAATGTATTGAAAATTTATTTGAATATAGGGAAGTAAAATGATAACTATTTGGGGTATAATATAAACTTTTTGTTTTATTTTGTCTTTGTTTAAAGCATGGGTGGCCAAAGTTTTTTTTATATATATATATGAGGGGCCAAAAAATATTATTGATAGCCGTGACCGTGAGCTGAAGATAAATATTGCAATTTGTTTTTCATTAAAGTTTCCCAATTAATTTAAAACATTACTTTGAATCATATTAACTAATGCAGTATAGCTTTTTTAAATGATACTGCAATGCAATAAAAACATCGATGCTGAATCTCCCCTTGACTTGATTTGCTCACCAAGTCTCTGCATCTGTCTAGTGGCAGTTCGTACATTTTAAACTAAATTACAGCATTTAAACTGAAACTTTTAATTTCAGTAAGCCTTTTTTGTAGCTTAACAATAAAACAAACTAATAAAAGGCCACATTAAAGTTGAAATGACAATCTCTAAACCATCCCATCATTCTCTCTCGCTTCTCAGATAGGACGGTGGGCCAAATCAATTGAGGTAAAGTTAGTTTTATATTCGGGGCGAAGCAGTGGTGCAGTTGGTAGTGCTGTCCCCTCACAGCAAGAAGGTCGCTGGGTCGCTGGTTGGAGCCTCGGCTCAGTTGGCGTTTCTGTGTGGAGTTTGCATGTTCTCCCTGCGTTTGCGTGGGTTTCCACCGGTAGCTCCGGTTTCCCCCACAGTCCAAAGACATGTGGTACAAGTGAATTGGGTAGGGTAAATTGTCCGTAGTGTATGAGTGTGAATGTTTCCCAGAGATGGGTTGCAGCTGGAAGGGCATTTGCTGCATAAAAACTTGCTGGATAAGTTGGCGGTTCATTCCACTGTGGCGACTCCGGATTAATAAAGGGACAAGAAAGCTGACAAGAGACCAACTTTGGCATGCGGGCCCAAGTTTGAGGATCTCTGGAATATAGCATGTCTGTGCATAAGCCCAATGAGATGAATATTTATAAAATCTTTATTATATTGACTGCTTATTTACTCATGCAGTTACTAATTCTCGATTTTTCTTTAGCATTATTGAAAGTCAAAATATGCATGATATAAGAAAGTGCTTAATCATGGGGTCCTACTGGGCCCCTTATAACTTAATTTTAATAGGTAATAACAAGTTCTAAATCAAAAAATGCCACAATAAAGTTAACAATTCATATATCAGCTTTTTTTCCTAATTTTAGTCTGTTTGTGGATTTAGGTAAAGTTTGTTTCACATTTGCACATTCAGACTTTCTCCTGTAATAATATCATTTCAGAAAAGTACACTTTGCCAATTGTAAATAGAAAAATCATACCTGCAGCAAATGACACTCTACTGTAAGTAGATTGTTCACAGTCAATTTAATAGAGCTAATATTGTTTTTAAGTTATACATGCATGTGATTTCAGACAGAATAATCAAAGTGGCATGGCTACCAATATAGGGGCTGTGTCACAATTCAAAACTGGCTGTGCGATTTGGGGAAAATAATTTAATTATAATTGAGATTTATTTATTTATTTTTATTTATTTATTTATTTTCAGGTAATTCGGTTTGATTTGCCATTTAATTTTTAAATCAAGATTCAGCTCGATTATCTGTAAGTCGTGGGCAGGGCTGGCCCTGTACATTTGGGGGTCCTAAGCAATTATACAATGCAAAGATTAATCCATTAATAATAAAATCAATAAGCAAATAATATAAAGTAAATATGAAAAAATATTAATAGAAAAAAACATGAAGTCCGTCTCCTTCCCTGTTTCTTACATTGAGATTTTTAAAAATAGAATTAGATTTTTGAGATGCAGGACCCAGAGCTTATAATAAACTGATTAATTCAATTAGAAAACAAAAAACTTTTATAAACGTGTCTCAACAAAAATACTACCAGTGTGCAATATTTGTCAGTGAAAGACACTTCAGTATTGTCTTTCAGTGAAATGTGTTTTCTTAACAGCTTCCTATTGATCATATAACTTCTCACATGAAAACAATTTCAACTTTAATATAGATATGTTTTTTTTTTTCATTTCTGTAAAAATTTATAAATATTTAAGTACTATAGCACTGTCGATGAAGATAATTGTAAAATGCAAATAAAAACAATTTCAGCAAGGAGACTGCTCAGACCACTAGCGGGTTGTGGGGGCCCCCTAGTGGCTGCGGGATCCTAAGCGGCCGCTTGGTTCGCTTATAGGAAGGGGCTAGTTCTGGTCGTGGGAACAATTCTGAAACAGTTCCTAAAAATTAACTGTTTTTGTTCTGGGCCTGTGACTGAAACCAAAATATTTGCGTATTACCAATGCTGTTTTTTAGTAATCTATTATGGTTTTAAAGACACCATCATCCCACTTGTCCATGCATTCCTCTTTGTTTTTTCTTTGTTTTTTTTATAGTCGTGAGCGTTCCGTATAGTTTGGTTGTGCAATTCTGATTGGGCAGAATGAAAGTGTGCTCGTACAGCCCTACTGTTGAAAAATGTATGAATGTGTGAAGCCACAATAATAAAGCACACCTGCTTTAGCTTTGCACTAAACCGCTAAATAAGCTTTGCATGCTGCCACAGCCAGTCTGTTGACTAGTTTTTTTAATTTTTATGTATATATTGTACTGGAAAAATACATGCTTTACAATTGAATTTATTGGCAATGCTCAAACTGTCAAGTGTGTTTGTAATCATGAGTGAGAGGCCTGTCTCTTTTTTTCATGTTTAAATATGTATTTAGAGGTGTGTTCTGTGTG